ATTATTTATCAAAACGTTACTTTACAATTGAAATGATGTAAGATTAATTTTTGCATGTATGTTACAGGTGGATTCCTAAAATCGCAGGTGGAGGATCCAGAAGACGAAGGAATTTAGGTAAATTCTCTTTTTGAATTAATGTTTTTTATATAATAATTAGTTTTATAATTATTCTTCTCGTGATTTAATAGTTAAAGTGTATACAAAATTGTACTTTTTATTGAAACTTCAAAACTGATACAAGCTAATCCAATCATCTTCAATGAGTTCAACTAATAAATATAGCTAGAATTGACAGATCAGAAATCTGATCGACTTATGTTATAGTACATCAACAACTTTTTTTCAATGTTCAATATTTTTATTATAACTTTTTAATTTAGCATTTTACGATTAACATCTATTTAACATCTATTCTCTGTTTCTATCCATAGAACTGTCAAGATTTTATTTTAGACAGTTTACTTGACAATTATAATAAATATCTTTTTTTATTTAAAAATTGTTATAAACTATTATGTATTATAAAAACTTGATATTAAAGTCTTTATTTCTAAACTTGATTTTTTAATTTGATCATAAATTTAAAAATTTCATATTGTCAATTAGGAGAATGGAAGAAGATATACAATACCTTATAGATTAGATATAATGTTCGATATAATGATACAACACCGATAAAAGATTGTTTACTCAATAAACTTATAGAATTGTATATGTACATTAGAATGTTCTCTATGTTCCATGCAAGTAATACAAATAATTTTGGTATGCTGTGTTTTTTTTTTATTTTTTTGGGGGCGGATTTGAATTTTTTAATCTTACATTATCTTACATATAGATATGCTGCATTAATGCATTAATACGTATATGATTTTAATATCTCAAAATATCTTTGAATTCGACAAATATAAGCAAATAAAGTCGATTGTGTCAAATTATCAAATTATACTTATTTTAGGAGAATATTATTTTTAAATTAAATCATTTTAACATCGGGTTAATCTAACATTTCTAGGCCCCAGTAGTCTATTGAAAAATTTGAGTTAACGCAAATAAAATAACGAAGCCTGAGGCTCAATTTTAACGTCTTAATCGTACGTCTCGTCTCAACTACAATATGCATCAACAGGTGTTGTCTCGAAACACTTGCGTGATGTTAATTTTATAGTTTGAATTAACTCGTATAATTGCTAAACGTGATTGCAACAGCAACGTGACTACAGCAGATTGATTTTAATTTAAATCGAGAGGTAAAAATGAGCGATGCATTTCTGCAAGGAACGCACGAAACCGGTAGCCATTTCGCGCCGAATAGCTCGAACGACATCTTTATTTTTGCATTCCCGTTGTTCGTCCGATTATATGGTATGCTGTCTGCGAAAAGAAAGTAATTTTTCGATTTCTTTCAAATGATCTCATAAAAAATATTCTATGAGAACACATACGTATCACAGTGAAGTGGACTTTGCATTTA